ATAAAAGGTGGAAGTTAAAACTAACTTTTGATTTATAAAATAAAATAATTCATAGATAAGGATGAAAGAAAACACAGTGGAATTGAAAGAAAAAGAGAACAATCACAACCTTGGTCAATTTGCTTTATAGATTTTTAAGATTTTGAAATCATTCGATTTCGTCACCTAATTGTCTTATTTTAAAAATAGTATAATTTAGTCACTTAAATAATTCAATTGAAGTTATTAAAAATCACAATTAATATTTAAAAAAATCATTTGGAAATATTTTACAAATATTTCCCAATTCAAAATTAGAAAATAATATTTTTATCAAAAATCACGAAAATTACCCTATTATAAGCCTGATTCAACTTACCTTAATTTTGAGATGTTACAAACTTAAACTCTGGTAGCCGATTTTATTACAAAGAAAACATTTTAGATCGCAACTTACTTCTTTGTGAACCATAACATATTTAGGCGCAACCTAAAATGTTAATCATATTAATAACATTTATTGTTTATAACTTATTTTGTTATCGTGAGAATGTCTAAGGCCTCATCAGCTTAAACTCTAGTAACATTTTATGCGCAACCTAAAATGTTAATAATATTCATAAATTTTACCCTTTATAACTTATTTTTTTTACCGTTTATAATATTTAGGTACAACCTGTTATGTTACTACGATTGATAACATTTTAGGTTTTGAATTATAACATTTTGTGTTATGCTTTTAACCTGTTACCTTGTTAACCGGTCATGCCATTTATTAGTCTTATTTTTAGGCGCCTCACGGCATAACTACCCCATGTTTGTTGTTTTCTATTGTTTTGGCTAAATTGACATTGTCATGATTTATATCGTTTAATAATTTTAAAGCTACTTTTTTTTTCTCTTCTGCTGTTCAGGAGAATCAGAACTAGGCCTAGATCGTATCCTGTATTGATTAAGATGCTTTTAATGAGACTCGATTTTCTTCAAAATAAAATAATATAAATTGTATAGCTGCAACTTTATTTTGGACATTGTTTGAAAGTTTCTATTCATTAAAAGTCAAATTTTCTATAATTTAACCTTTTCAATACGTTTGATAATAAATATGTTCGACTTGAATTATCTTTTTTTGTGTGTTTGTAATATACTTTTATTTAGGGAAGCCATCAAATAGAAACATTCATTTGATTTTTTTTTTAGAAAAAATTCTAAAGTAAATTTTGCTCGATTAGTATTTTGTTTTGGTGAAACAAAATATAATGAAAAAGACCTAAACTTTTCCTTTTCTTTTCTTCTGTAAAGAATATTGAATGAGATTCCGTAACAAATATGCAAAATGTTTTGTGGTCAATACATAGCATAAACACAATACCTCCACAATGAAGTTTGAATGAATAAGCTTTGTTCATCTCTTTGAATTACGTTTATAATTGTTGGTGATAAATATGCTGCCCAAATTATTAGAAAATTTTGATAATTCTTCTCATTAACATTGGGAATGGCTTGCAGAGAATCAAAGCAAGTGAAGATTCATCTGATGAAAATTTGCTTCGGTTGAGTGTCGAAACTGTCGGATGTTATGGATTTCTATATGTTTTCAACTAGAGAAAACTATGCATATTTCATTATCTTAATACTGCTGCCACCCATTCAATTTGTAGGATCTATTAAAGTGGAGTAAAATTGGTAGTTGATAACATTTCCTGTGATCTTGTACATTGCATAAACATATCTATAAGGTCGATTAACTTGTAGAACCATACTCGTTTTCTTGTAGCTTATTATTGGATATTAGATGAAGATCCTATTAGCTACAAAACATGAGCATTCTTATCAATCAATCGATCATTTTCTCGGCACTGTGACTGCCATATTTGATCATTTTCTCGGCACAATCACTCCATCAATATGTCGGAGATAATGAATATCTGCAATTTTATGTTTTTAAATGTTTGAGTCCATTTAAATTTATCAGATTAATATCCATTTAATCGCGTACATTGTGGCATTACAATGAGCATCAGTATACATTGTAAATCATCCACAATTCTGAAATATCCCGATTAATCTGAACTCACTGTTAATAAAGATGTATGTTTCCCCCAAAAAAAGAAACAATTTATTGTAACAATGCGCATTGCTACCAAATAGATGTATGCTCAGAGACATCACTTAATAACGACTTCAAAAGAAACGAAAAAGGGGTACGATTTCATTCCTCTGATTGCCTCTGACCTAGCACCGGAATGTTTTCATATCGTTTCTGATGTATAGCAAATAAAATCAAACATACAAGTTAGTAGGTGGGCTATGTAAGCTCAATTACGGCAGACAATGATCAGGCCGCTGCCAATCCAATATGCAAACAAGTTTCGAGGCAATGATCAGGCCGCTGTCAATATGCAATGTGTTGGATAACCCAAATTTATGAAATTGAATCTATATTGAGACAAGCAAGAACAGAATAGTTGTAGCTTTAGAGAATGCCTCACATTGCACCAACTGTAACCATCCACACAACTGACTGACTGACATAAGGTAACAACATTAAGCCTTCCATGTAATTACAACATTATTTCATCGCAAAGCCAAAATTTTCAAAGGTCGTGACTCGTGATATTAAGTTTGCAAAGAAATTACAAATCTTCCTACATCCTTTCTCCAGAAACCCCATCACAATCAATTGGTGGTGTTCTTATAATTAAAAAAAAAAACTATAAAAAACAGTAAAGGGTATTATAACCGATGTTACTTAAGCTTGAGAGTATCAGATATTGGTATGTGTTCGGCATAGGTAAGTTCAGTTTTTAAGTTTTTCAATGTATTTAGAAGACAGTATCTCCATACTAATATCTTAGACATTAAACACAAGCGTTGGACATAGGTACTCATATAAAAATGAATCAGAGCAACACAGAATCATAGAGGATACAATATTAAAAGAGCCCCGGAACTTTACCCCGTATACTTTGTCCACTTAAATAAACCCTTAATACCCTAATAAGTCATCAACTTTTAATTTATATCCAGCTAAGCATGTAACTTTTAATTTATACAATAAAGCCCTTATCATGGATCAACCTTTCACTTGAAATTAAAGCTTTTTAGCACAAATCAAAGGCTAAGGGCTTATTCAATTAAAGCTTTTAATTTATTCTAGTATTATGGTCACTTTTAGATTATAGCAATATTGCAGAGATGAGAATGAGCAAAATAAGGAGAGCAGTGGCTATCCTCTCCACCATAAAATCAAATATAAATCCCAATGTGCCTTGGAAAAGTGACAATGAACTACCGAATTTGTGAATCAGATTCCAAATAATGTGCAAATAAAATACATGGTAAAACTGGCATTATTAGAAATTAGACAATTTACCCCAACATTGTTGCATTCCCAGAGCTTATGAACTCCATAATCCACAGCCTACAAAAGTCAATTCGATCACAATAAGAATCTTCACCATTCTGTCTCCTTTCATCAATAATCATAAAAAGGGAACTAATCCTAAACATCATTAGAAAGTCATCACTTCCAATAAAAAAATCAATCCTCCGACCAAACTATTCCGATCAGTAAATAAATAAGAAAAAACATTTTCTCTAAAATCAGCACTAAAATTCAATCGAAAAAAAGAATAAAAAATGGAAACGAGAGAGACCCAATCGAAAAAAATAATTAGAACTTACCCGTTCTGCGAGGAAAGCACCGGCGATGACAAAGGTGACGTAGACGGAGTTACGGCGCATGATAACTCTCTAAAGACCTTCGAAAAGGCCTCCTTGACCTCTTCTCTAAGCTGCGTATTCCATGGCGATTACTAAAGATTAAGGCAGTCGCTCTTGCTGGGATCTGTGATTAGGGTCTGCGTAGAATTTGGACGCTAAGAAATGTTTGTGTTTTTAAGGATGAAATTTCTTACAAGGGTTCTCGGATCGAACCGAAATGTATCGACTTAGTTTAGTTTAATTTGATGGGCCCAATAGGTCAATTTGTGGGCCTCATCTTGCTCAATGTCATCTTAGCACTTAAAAAGATAGATGTAAATGAAAATGATTTTTTTTGGATGTTTGAGATATCTGTTTGAATTAAATATGAACTTAATTTCGAAATTCAGTCATTTAATTCGATAAATATAATTATTATTTTAATATTTTATATATTTATGATGTTAGAAAATAATGTGTATAAAATTAGTAATTTATTTCTCCAACATCCATTGGTATTAAAGGAGCATGAGATGGATGTAAACAAACGGTATTAGAGGAGCATGAGATGGGTGTAAAACTTTTTTTTGTTTAATCATCGTCATTTGATCTAATGATCGATTGATCAGAATCAGATATTATAGAGATTCGTTATGGGACGATCCTCTTAACTTAATTTGTTGCATTCACGATGTCAGAATTCGAATATCTAATCTTACTTGAGAAATCTAGTGTTTTATCCCCATGAATCAATTAGTTGTTAGTTGAAATGGACGTAAATGGTTGCCCTAGGACAGGGATGGACCTACGTAAAAGAGTGAATGAATGTAGATCACAAATACAGATGTTTCTTTATGCAGGTTGGCTTAGTTATTGGGTTCTTCTTCTTCTTCTTGTGAAGTGATATGATTGATTTGCAAGTCCTTTATCAAACTAGTGGCTTAGAGAGGACTCAAAATTAAAGTACAAACTGTGATTGAATGTTCCACTATAGTATATGATAAAGTGAAGAACTACTTTGTGGTTTTGCATACGTATTGTTTCAGAAATTTGTTCAAATCAAGTATTTATTTATCCTGGAAACAATAAAGCACAACCTGTGTGTGTAATTTGTATGAGCAAAAATGAAATTTTTGGTACACTTGGACCACCGATTCCTGCGCCATACTCAATTGGTTCATGTGGTTAATTATCGTAATATCATTGCATTATCCTTGGACATGAAAATTTACTTCATTTGCTTGGATTTTTAATGTTGTTTCATATTAATAATTTAAAAAGCAGAAAACAAATGAAAGATAGTGATAATATATAATTCAACACCTGTTTTCTATTCTAATCCTGCGGGTAGTTGATCTTGTTCCTTGTTCAACCAAAGCAGCACGAGCCGACGTAATCCCGGTGGGAACCAAACATTCATCAAATGCAGAGCAATCGATCCAGTCTTTCAAAAGGTCTTCTTGTCCCCATATATCTGGAATCCAAACCCTACTTTTTGCCACTTCAATCCTATGCCTCTTCAATCTCTCCCGCCCATTGTCTTCTTCTTCGTCGTCGTCTTCTTCAGCCCTCCTCACTGCTCCTATAGCAACTTCATCGACGACCACTTGTCGAACGCCATCAGCCGATGAACACTGACCCTTTAACGAGCTTCCCTCGTCAGCTTGCAGAGATTTGCTGGGTTCTTCAAGAAACTGGGGAGGATTTGGGGGGTGGGTGGTCATTTGTGGTGGTGCTTCTACGTTCATGAGGTCGATGATCCCTTGGTATGAGGCTTGAACAAGAGGGATTGAAGGGTTTAGGGAGTGGAAAAGGGGTATAAAAGATTAAAGAATGGGTGGGAAGTTCGTTTACACGTCATTTATGGCTTACAAAACATTTGGTGTGTTTTTTTTTTGTATGGTTAGTGAGAAAAGTACGTGTCTTTTGTTGAGGATGGTTTGGAATATTCCATTTTGTGTCTGTGGTTTTCAGTTTTTAAGTTTTGACAACACCAAAAAGCCATGGAAACAGATTTTTTTTATCAAACAAAACCAATGATTCAGTTTTCATATGATCTCCTTGAGTTGATTTTTTGGAAAGATTGTGAGGTTTAAGTTTCTTTTTAGTTTTTAATAAATCTGTTTTTTACACGTTTTCGATCGTCTTTATCAATCTTTTGATTGTTCTTTTTATTTATTTCTTTTTCAAGGTTTAATTTAATATCGTATCAATTGATCAATAATCGCTTATTTGTTATCTTGTTGAGCTTTCCTCCTTTAAATCCTTAAATAGGATTTGGATACGCAATTTGCGGTTTCTCAATAGTTTTTTAGTAGTTTTATTTTTTTATGGTTCATTCGCTAATGTAACTAAATTTATTTGTATTTATCTTTTATTCTAGTTTTTTATTGGATTTTTAACATTTTTCTTTTATGATCTCAAGTGCCTAGATTTTTGTATCAATGATTATAAGAAATGTCCTAATTACGTGTTTTGTTTACAACTATAGTTTTGAATTGTTATTATAATTTTAAATATTATCTTTTTTTGAACAATGACAACTGGGTTTTATTAATAAAAACGACATAAGAAATCATAATTAAAACGCAACCAAACATAAAGAGAAAATTGAAAACAATAGTCACAAAAAATTCATACAAAAATAAAAGTATTAAACCCAAATGTACGAAGAAAAATAAAATCTTTGATTGAGAATGACGACTAACATTAAAAGAATCCAGTAACCTTCATAAAACTCATTGTCTCTTTCGAACGAGACGCTTTACGAAGTGATAAAAGAGTGGTGAGAGAACCAAACTATCTGCCTGACTGCTCACTACACAATTATGATTATATCGGCAAATAACATTTTACCAAAGAGGGGATTTGATTATACGTGACCACCGACAAACCAATCAGAAATGTCGTGATGATTTTTGTATAAACACAAAAATATCACAAATGTATACGAAAGACATACCAAAATCCATAAGGATCATACCACAAGAACATAGAAATCACGTGCCACAAGAGTAGAAAAAATCGTATCACAAGGACATAGATTATTTAAAAATAAAAAAAATTAAGGAAAAAATTATAGTATAAAAATAAAAAAATAATAATAATTCAGCTGTCGATAACTAATATTAAAGTGTATTCGTCAAATAAATAAAAAAAAGGAAAAAAAAGAAGGCAACACAAAAACTTTTATAGTTATCAATATTTTATTTATTGGCTAACTTATTTCCTTTCGGGTTAAGAAGTTTATTACTTACTGGGCCTGTATTTATTTTAAAAGGACGAGATGATGGCTGAAATACCAAACCCAAAAAGAAAGAACAAGTCGTTTGAGGATTTATTAAAAGGTAAAATAATGAATAAAAAATCATAATTTGAGGATTTTTCTTAAAGGATTCAATTATCAAAATTCGTTTGAAAGATAATCTTTTATTTTTATTTATAGGTTTCGATTGTAAATTTTAAACAATTAATTTTTTATTTTTTAGATTTTAAAATATTCGACGTATAATGTATTTTAAATCAACAGTAAATATTTCAAAAGTTTTTTTATTTTAATATTTTTTTTCAAATTTAATGAAACATATATGGATATTCTATAAATTTATTTGGATTACGGATCAAATTAAAACGAATAGAAATTAAAAAATATATATATTTAGTGTTAGGTAAATTTTTAATATTTATTTTTAAAGCCTTTAAATATTTTGATTTAGTGTAACCTGTCGGCTGTTACAAATTAATTGTAAGAGTAGTGTGGTAATAGTTCTTCTTCTAGTCTCTATCATCAAATCTACCGGTTTAGTGGCGATTGTGACTATTACTAGTAATATTCCTTTTCATTTAATGAGATTTAGACTCTTTATGAAGATATTTTATTCCTTGATAGACCCCTTCTCCTCTCACTCTCTTCCTCCAAAATTTCTCAAATTTTCTTTTTTCAAAAATAATTTTATAAAAATATTTATGATTTTTTTAATAAATTTTTATATGTTCTTTTTTTAATTTTATAAACTTTTGAATTGTTTTATTATTATTATTATTGTATTTAACATAACTTCTATGTGTTTCCTTTTCAGTAATTGTTTTATTTTACTTAGTGCGTGGATTAATCCCTAAAATATATTATATTTCACTTCAGTCCTTTAATTTTTTAAATTGGTGGACACAACGTTTATTGATTCAATTTTATATAAATGTAGGTAGTGGAATCATCAATGATCCTTGTATTGCATAAACCCAGATGACTCGAAGTTATATCAGATTCGGAATCTGAAAATTGTATACCATAAACACTTACATAAACACCAACAATAGGATATAATAAAAATCTAGTACCTACCTTTCCTATTGATTTTCTATTTATATAACTTTTGCAAAGAAAAATATGGAAGCACTCTTCAAGCATGAAAATATAGATTTCAATCCATCAGCCTAGAAAGTGTGGTACAAGCTTTAGACACCATAGGAACTGCAGTGGAAATATCAGATATGGGTAACAAGCAATTGGCGAGTAAAGCGTTGCTAGTTGCAGTGAAAAAACCTTCCCAGTAACGTGGTGGAGGGATACTGTTAACTGTTTCGATATCGATCTCGAATAACTCCTCGTCTTCTTCTTCGCCTTTGTATTTCATCTGGGAAATTTCTTCTTTGATTGCAGAAGAAGCCATTGGAATCGTTTGATTTCTGTGTGTGAAAGTTTTAGGAGTATGCATTTGCTTAAATATGAGGAGGTTTTTAGGTTACTTGAGTCGAGGGAAGGTGGTAAGTAGAACGGTCTTCAACAAATTCACGACGAATTTTGGTCAGAACAAAGCCACTAAATCAAACATTAATTTTGGACTCTTTCAAATCCCATTTTCATAACATAATTTTAAACAGTTCCTTGTAACGTAATCTAATTACGTGTTTAATAGTATAATTAGAAACATCTTTAGGTACTAACAACCAGGTGGTCCAGTACAATAAGACACTAAATTTCTTAAATAAAGTTAAGAATTTGAATCCTAGCATTTATGTATAGAATAAATTGGGTTGAGAGGGTCGCCCCTTGACCTCTACAAAATTCGATTTGAATTAGTCGGTCAATAAATTAAATATCAGTAATTAATTAAAAAAATGTCTTGAGGTCAACTAGACTTTGGGTTGTTATCCAAACTCTTGTTATCTTGATATGAAATACATGCAATGCATACCAAATACTTATTATTAATAATATTCTATTTGTCCTTTTTTTTAACAAATTAGTTTTCGATAGTTTGAAATGTATCTCATGCTAGAGGGTTAGTTAGGACAATGAGAGAGGAATGAGATTTCTTGCCCCCGTTTTATTGGATCAAAGGTATTACAATACTAAAAAGCTAAGAGATTTGTACACGTTATATACTTAAGCCAAAACTTTAGACTACAGTTTATAGTCAATTATAGCGATGATAAGAGGCCGAGGAACTATTTTATGCTAAGAATTTGAATTTAAGAAATTATATTAAAAATTCAAAAAATGTAAAATTATAAATTTAGGAATGTGAAATTAAATTATCAATAAAAATATAAAAAAATATAAAAATTTAAAATTTTTAGGAGGTACGAGCACGTTCCTCAATCCATCCCTAGTAGCAGGGTCGGCCCTGGGCCAGGGCAAGAGGAGCGCCCACCCTGGGCCCACAAATTAAAATAAATTATTATAACATTTTATTTTTTTATAATAAATTTAAAAAATTATAAAATAAAATAATAAGGCCCATGAATTTATTAAGGTGTCAATTATCATTATTGAATTTTTATATTAATGTTAATAAACTGTTCCACTTTCCATAAAACTCTAATTCAATATTTTTTTCTAGAATTTAAAAAAATACATTTGAATCTATTTAATTTTGGTCTTTCAAAATTCTCACCATCAATTCATCAAATCTTTTTCTCGATTTTTCATATCAATGAAAATTTTTGTTAATTTTTTCTTTTTTTTCCTCTTCAAAACTCAATGTGGGAGGAGAGAATTTAAGTATAATTAACTGCTTATTTTGTCTTCCATATTTCACAGTTCCTCTGAAAAAAATTACCCATTTTTTTATTTCTCATATTTCTCACAAACACAAAGTCATAATTGTTTATCATCAATTGTGGTGCGTAAATCATATTAAAGATTGTTCAGAAAATTCTAAGTAAGATCATGTTTCCAAATTCTTTCTTTTGAGTTTTATATATTTCTAAATTCTAGATAAGATTGTTCTTATTTCCAAATTATATGGTATGTGTTCAGAAAAATAAATTGAAAAGCATTAATTTTGACACTATCATCAATGATTTTTCTTCAAGAAATGCTCGAATATAATATTTTTTATAAGTATTTGTTTGCTTAAATATATTTGTGACATTATTGATATTGTAATGAATTACTATTTGTTTAATTTAATAAAAAAAGTATAATAGAAATTTTATATTACATAATTCTTAAATTTCATTTGAATTAGGGGTCCATTTTTTTATTTCTCCCCAAGTCAAAAAATACTCTGGACCGGCCGTAGTGATTAAGATTCATTTTCATTTATAAACTAAAAAACTTATCTTATATCTTCATTGAAATTTAGAAAATATTTTTATAAAATATTTTTTAATATTATTTGAATATGACAAAATAAATAATTTAAATTTAATTCACATAAAGAAGTCATGGGTTTAAGAAAGTAGCCCCAACTACTGCGACACAACACAAGATATCGAACCATTTCTGACAAAGGGAGAACAA